AGTATTATAAATATAATACATAAATTAAATAACGATAATAGCAAAAAATCTGTATAAATCACCTCAAATAAGAATGAAATGTTAAATAAAACTATAATATACTTAAATAACTGTCATATAATTGTAGGATTAAATTGTCAAACGATATTTCATAAATTTAATACAAATATTTTGAGTAAACGCTACAAACATAACGCATAAATTAAAGAAGTAATAATAAAAGAATATGGGTAACTATTTGGCTAACTAATATGGGTAAGTATTAAAATATGGGTAAATATTGATAAATAGAAATAGCGATTTCAAAGTAAAAATGTTAAAAAATAACTAATTACCTTTGAATTTATTGGTACACGCGCCATTCAGGGGTGCAGAATAATCCCCACAGAGACAACGTGTTCTTCCGTCCCGTTGATCCGCCATGCATGTCGTATTTTGAATTCCGGCGCAATCGGACTCCAACTTACATTCGCGAGCTTTCCCAACTGAAATTAAAACGAACCCTCATGCGTGGAAAGATCCAACTTTACGACACAAGCTTCCTTGCATTTGTTTACATTTCCTTGATAATAGTATTTTCTTCATATCTATATTTCATTTATGATATGATATAACGTATATGGTACTTATATCAACGAAACCAATTTGTCATAAGCATTGAAATTTTTGAAATATTTTAAAATAATTCTGTTGGCGAAAAAGTGACAGCAATTTCTTTATAAAAGAAATAGCTTTCGAAATACGATATGAGTCACTCGTAAAAGAAATAAAATGCAAAATAATATATACTCAGATTTTTCAATATAATCGATATTATTTTAATTCTTAAGTTCAGAGAAATTAACGCGAAGAAGGTATAAAATTATAAAGACAGTATAGAAGCAGAAAGAAATATACGCACCGGTTTCTTAACATAATCAATATCTCCTTAATTGTCGAATAGTGAGAAATTAATATAAAAGAAGTATACAAATGATTTTCTTAATAAATCAATCTTTTTAATTATTAATTTTAGAGAAATTAGCATTTTTGTAATATAATTATTTATTACTGTTTTTGTAATATAATTATTTCTTTTTTAATTGTTAATTTGGAAGAATATGATTAATATCTAAAATTAATTATATAAAATGTAACACTAAAGTGATCATAATAATATTAATATTTTAATTATTAATTTGCTCGTAAACTTTTCATACTAATTTTGATCTCCTCTTTTCGAACGTAACGATATTAAAAAATCTTTCTCAAAAGACACTCAATATAATCTAAACATTCAAAAAATAATTAAAAAGTCTTGGAATCATTTCAAAAGTTGTTTCAACGAACCTGGTGTAGGTGGTGGTGGAGGATTTTGGTTTTGCGTTTGTGGGTTGGTTTTGCCAAAAGTCGTAAGAGCCCAGGTGGAGGTCGGTGATACGAAGAACACCAACAGAAGGAAGGTGGACAACATTTGGGAAATTCTTGACTTCATCTCTTCCGGATTTACTTGTTGCAGCTTCGATTCGAAACCGTCCAAGTGATCGACACTCAGTTTAATCACAAACCACTTCAATCTTAAACTAACAAAATCCGAATTTCCGAAATGAAAGTCACTCGTTTTTTCTTCACTAAAATAAATCAACCCTGATTTTCTATTTTCCTTTCCTTCCTCTAATTATCATGCAAAAATGAACGTCCACAGGATTTTGAGAAAATTACTTCAATGTACACTGATATACCTAAATTACCATTATCAAATTAATTTACACCGTTACGGATAATAACGATGAAATTTGGAAGGAAAGTTGAGGGTGAGAAATCTGCTCGCACTTTTAAGTCGATTGCTATTCCAACGGAATACTATTACGTTCTTTTCCAGAACTGCGTGTTACAAGGACGTTGGAAGGCCTTTTAAGCCTTTCGGGTATCCCCACCCCGTGCCCCATGTGCTGCCACCACCGAGGCAGAAAACACTCCAGACCAAAACGTAGCTGGCCTACCACGTCGTCGAAGAATCGGAGTGTGTTCTCGCTCCCTTAAGTTTCGATCGTGGTAGGAGTCGTAGCCAGGAGAAACATAACGGTTCCGTGCTAGGACAAAGCATCTTGACTTTAACTTTGTCACGGCATATTTTACTTTCACACTTTCGCGAAACAACTGTTCGTTGGATATATAGATTTTCTCAACTAACTGCTGAATAATTTCTTTCGTAAATGGATGGTTGGCTCGGATACACGTTGGAACGTTGGTACGTATATACGAGATTAATTAAGTTTGGTAATTTTAGAAAAGGCGAAGGGCTACTAAAATGGTAAATATTCTAGTTTGAGTATGTTTATTATTACATTCGTCGTGCAATGTATGGTTGAATATTGGTAAATAAGTGAAAGTTATTTTTACAAAGCTGACATTTTTATTGATATTCCGAAAAACTGGATTAATGATTCTGTGACTATTATCAGGTATATTATCGGATAATTGTGGCACTATAGTTTTTGGTGCCCCAAAGCTGCTTATTTTAACGAGTGTAGGTATATATAATGAAAATGGAAAATTATACTTCACCGTTGCTGAAGACATTTTATTACTAGTAATTTTGAGCAGCAGACGTTTAACCCTTTGCGTTCAACGATTTTTTGGCTAAAGAAGGGTACGAGTTGAAAAATTTTCTGCTATAAGGCTGATGATATTTTTTGAACAGTAAATAAGAAATCGTATAATAATTAATATGCAGAATTATTTGACTTCGATACCTCGCACATTGTTACATTATTTTAAATTTGATATATTAATTAATATCGTGCTTCGAAATTTTATCAAATCGCGACTGAAGGGCGCCTCTCGAGTGCAAAGGATTAATGATAAGTAAGTGAATTGTAGAAAAATTGTTTGAGAAATGTTATATTTTATTATGTTAAAAGAAACTAAGTGACATTATATATATAATAAGTATTATAAATATTATTTCATACTATTATTTATACTAATATCCTATATTGTTCTAATAAATGAATAAAAATAATTTTAATTATAGAAATGTAACATTGATTTTTTACATAAATATCTTTATTAAAGTTTCATTATAGCTATGTCCATATTTATTATTTCGAATAAATAGGTAGGAACTGTTATATTATATTATGTTAAAAGAAACTAAGTGATATTATATATATATAAAATAAGTATCATAAATATCATTTCATACTATTATTTATACTAATATCATATATTTTTCTAATAAATGAATAAAAATAATTTTAATTATAGAAATGTAACATTGATTTTTTACATAAATATCTTTATTAAAGTTTCATTATAGCTATGTCCATATTTATTATTTCGAATAAATAGGTAGGAACTGTTATATTATATTATGTTAAAAGAAACTAAGTGACATTGTATATATATAAACTAATATCCTATATTTTTCTAATAAATGAATAAAAATAATTTTAATTATAGAAATGTAACATTGATTTTTATATAAATATCTTTATTAAAGTTTCCTTATAGCTATGTCCATATTTATTATTTCGAATAAATAGGTTGGAACAAAATATTTAACAAAGCAAATGAAGATATTGTTTTGAAATTTTAGAAAATAACACTAAATCACTTTTTAATATTATCACTGTCTAAATGACTGTTTTATAACTTTTGATTACAAATTTTGCATTTGACATTATCGCTGTGATGTCATCGCAATTTTCTTCAAATGTAAACACTTTTGAATATTTTCTGTTCTTACATTTTTTTTTCTTCAGGTTTAGCATTAGTGGTTTAGGATCAAAGATTATTCAAATGTGAGTATAAAATTAATTATTTATTCAGGGTGAGTCGAAATTCGGTACAATCGGCTGGAGGGCGATTCTGCGTAAGAAAGTAATGGCAAAATTTGACGTAAAATTTTTTGATCTCAGGCTTCGTTTTTGAGAAAGTTAAATTTGGAGTTTGTCTAACTGCGCAATGCCACTTATTTACATATCTTATATTCTACTACCTGTTATCATCGTTCTATTACCATAATGTATATGTATAAACTGTTTAAAACGTTTGTATATTTATTTAAATTTTTAAAAGAAACTCGTACATCTCTTCGAGTATTAAAATTTTCATCATTACGTTTATCTTTTATAAGATGTTTTGAAAAATCCAATTATATAAAATTATTAAACAGATCTATTGAAAAAATAGCTTATTTTGAATAGAGATATTCATGACTTATGCATGACTTGACGTTGTTATGCACTTCATATTATTATAGTTATAAGTGCACAACAATGTTCAGTCATGCATAACAATTTCAACTTCATTTTTACTTGCTATTGTGTAAACTATTTGTATTTTCTGGTCATATGCACCTATATTTTGGTTTTCCTTTGCTCTTAAATAAATTTTAAAAAGCGATTAGCAATTGGCACTCGTTATCAAGTTTGTTAATACAGTGCAATTTCTTTCGCTTTATCTACACCAATAAGTTTCCATGAATTTTTCTATATATTTTATCCTGGTATACTCGATCGATTAATTTCTTTCATAAATTTTGTATAAAAGGAACTCTGTGATCGAACCATATCAGGATAAGAACCATATTTTACTTATTAGAAATACTCGAGAATCGTATTTTCTAGTAAATACAAATCGCTATTTTGTATATCGATAGTTACAGGATTTCTGGTATATCACGTAGTTAGATTTCGAGAAAATGAAAAAGCGTTATGAGAATCCGTGTAATACCTGAGAAAGAATTTTCTCTTTTATTGAAAATTTCAAATCTTTATAGCTTTATTTAATTGTAATAAAGGACTAGTACTTAAACAAATAGTGTACCTTCATTTATTTCTCTAAATGCCTCTTTTTCAATTAAGAATGGTCTAGTACTTAAAAAAGAGGCAGTTGAACTCGAGAAATGAATGATATTATTTTCTTTTTATAATTAAAAGAAATATTGTAGGATTTTTTGCGAAATTAAATTATCCTATCGTATGCGGATAGAGATCTGCGTGTCTAATAAACAACAACTCCTTTTTAATAAAGAAACAGGTTTATTTAACTAAAATGTTACACTAAATTTCTCTCAATTCTCAAACACACGATCCTCTATTCACTACGTCTTGAGTCAATCTTTGTGTTTACAAATAGTTTATTTGGAATTGTTGTCAATATTTAAATATTATTATCTAAATATATTAATTTGTCAATTGTTAAAAAACGTGGAAAATATTGGTATTCATTTCTATCCACAGTCTCGACTACACACACTCTGCCTTTTGCCTTCTGCCTTCTCTTGCATCTTTACTTAAAGCCAAAATTCTCTCTTTTCATACACAGGCTTCCTTTCTCGATCACTAGATACAGTCATAGAAATCCTGTCAAAAGGATTCTTTCGCACTGTCATTTGTTCTTTCGCCTGCATCCTAGATGTCGTACTGAACGTCCGAGTTGAACCCCATGTCACTGTTTATTATTCCTCGCTTTTCGAGAAACGGTCCAAACGTTCCCATGCATTCACTTAGAAGTAAGACCGCACACCCATTCGTCTCGCTATCACTCTTAACCCTTTGCACTCGAGAGGTGCCCTTCAGTCACCATTTTATAAAATTTGGAAGAACGATATTAATTAAAATATCAAATTTAATGCAACGTAATAGTGTGCGAAGTATCGAAATCGAATAATTCTACAATTTTATTATTATACAATTCTTTATTCACTGCTCAAAAAAGTATCGTCAGATTTTTAGTAGAGAATCTTTGAATCTTTACTATCCTCCAGCCAAAAAATTGTCGTGTGCAAAGGGTTAATAATATTTTCCTCGTTAGGGGAATATTAGTCCTGCACTACTCGCAATCCCACCATATGTTTATTAAAATAATCATTGATTTATCAAAACCATTATACGTTAATGTTTATTTCGTATAATATTTTGTGAAATATCACACTAAGCAAGACTATAAAATTCGATATTCGGCATTAAGGTTTTCTTGATGAAATAATATACAAAATATTCAAATAAAATAGTTCTGTTCGTTAATTTATTTTTAATTTTTATTTATATTAGTTACAAAGAATGTCGTCAAATCAATGATGACGTGTGTTGTTACTTTTCTATGTATTCTTATTTTACTGTAGCGAAAATATTTTTAAGTGCAAAGGACTAATACTGGACGAACTAAGAACAAATTAAAAATTTCTATGTTCTGAAATTTCATACTCAAACCTGATACAACGCATACTTGATGGAATAAAAGGAATTTTCCAGGAATTTTATTATAATTTCTACAAACACTCATTTTGATGAATGGATTTAACGAGGACTAATCAAAGGAACTAATAAAATTCAAGAACTAAGCAATTTAGAATTAGAAGCTTTTATTACGCTGCTTTTATACCACGAAATTGGATACAGATGATACGTTTCTTTCAAAATGTAATGACCAATATTCGACTATATTAGACTTGCATGAAAGATAATGTAACTTTTTTAGCTTCGAATCAAATGAAAAATATTTTATACAGATTTTTTAATGTTTAACAAATTTAATACTTCAGGTGGCACTAGAAGTGACTATCGATTTAACGTTACCAATAATGTGAGGGGAGTCTTTATTTGGATGGCGTCACCCTGCATAGGGATCTATGTTACTTCGAGGAACCATCAAGCTTCTCAGTTTTCGAAGCAGGACTGACAATAAGTGACGCAATGGGTCGTCATAGGGCCTATAAAACCCTGGCTGGAGGGTTCGACGGGACCCTTTCGACAACCCACCGTCTGCATCCCGCATCTCACAAGACTCAAGCCTCCGCGCATTTGTACCGCAAGGGAATAAAATATAATCACAGTTAAAAATTCAGTCTCTATAAATCCGA